ACTTTGAAAAAGTATTAAAATGGCACTAAAAAGTATGAAATAATTTCTATTTCATTTATATTAAATGATATTCAATAATATATTACATTTCTATCTCCTTTATATTAAATTATGTGAAATAATCTTTTCGTAGTCGGCGCGAATTTAAAAATTACTTACATTAAAAATTACCAAATTTGGTTTAACTTTCTGTCGAGGGGACAAAACTTATGCCCTTAAATTATTGCTATCATCATATCTACTTTAGACATCATATACATTAACACTTTTCTCCATCGGCGCCTCCACCAAAAACTATTCCAAATCTACTCAGACAGTACTTTCACGTAGACATTTATTGTCTGGCTGAGCGTTCCATAGGACAGTACCTCGGCTATACGGACATACCTGCATCCACACGAAGGTGATGGGTTTGTAAAACGACAAACAAGCGCCTAATAACTGATTATTAGTACCAGTGACCACTGCTAGGGTTTCTTATTCTAACGAACCCTTACACAGCCGACCAGGAAAGAGAATGGAACGACAATAGCCCTCTCCATTATTACATTTCATCGAGGCAAGTACTCGGAAACCACGTAAAACTCTAGTCTTGAGCAATTGTAGGGAGTTTTGCTCTATTGCCTTCTATAAGTCTCTTAAGTATCTAGATAAGTATCTAGTCTATTGCCATCAACAAGTCCAGGGGACCGACCTGGACTTTCACGTAGACAGTATACATGTATACATTAAAAGCGTTCAACATTGCCGTCATCACAAAAAACTAACTCAACCAGGAATTAAAATTTTTACTTTTGCGCCAACTACGAAAAGATTAATTAACATAATTTAATATAAAGGAAATAAAAATGTAATGTATTATTGAATATCATTTAATATAAATGAAATATAAATTATTTCATACTTTTTAGTGCAATTTTAATATTTTGTCGAAGTCGGTTATATTTTTTTTCCAAAAATTATTTTATGCTTACATGTTGTAATGTTGACCTTTCTAATGTTTACATTTTGTCTTTAACCATACGACATTCTTCTACTTTTAATTTGTTTCGATCAGTCAAGTTGTGACAATGCCTACTTATAGCAACTGCGAATACGTCGAAATGATAAAAGCATTAGGAGCTTGCCATGAAATGCAACAGCAGCAGCTGAATATTATAGGCAACAATTTCCAAATTGCAGAAACAAGTGGAAATTTTCTTTAGCTGAAGGAAAAAATAATAAATGCTTTTACTCAAATAAAGTGTCGAAATTCATTGGGGTTCATTATTCACTAATAAGACGAGCAATGATATGCACGCGTCACAAAGACAGCATTTTGAACAGTTTATTCAATAATGTTATGCAATTAACGTTAGAAATATCAATAAAATTAATAAATGTATTATCCATACATTAACATTTCTTATTTATAATACATATTTACACCTAGAGACGGTACAGTGCACGTGTACTGGATCGAATTTTCAAATTTGATTTTCTCGAAAACAAAGCGTCAAACGAAAAAATGTTATTCCACTTTTTCGACTTATTTTTACATGCAATATTACCTTTTACTAGGTTATACCACTCGTCCTAAGCGGGGGATGTAGCCCTAATAGACAGCTTGCTTCAGTGAAAATGTGCCTGGAAACGCCGTTTTTAGCCCCTTTTTTCATTGAAGTACGGTTTCGTGACGGTTTTCAGATTTCAAGAGTACATTAGTTCCGTGTAGACAGCACATGCCATTAACAAGTTTGTCACATTCCCTATTACGAGTTTGGCATTCTGAACAACAATTTCCTTTGTAAAAATATCGGTGGTAGGGACTCCGTTTTTGAATTATTAACGAAAAACACCGACCAACCACAGCGCCCGATTAACGCGCGCTCAGCTGGCTACGCAGCGATCTGGCGCAACCAGCTAGTCCTGGCTCGAGCTTATGCTCTCGTGGCTGATCGCGCGCTAATCGGGCCGTGTGATTGGTCGCTGTTTTTCGTTAATAATTCAAAAATGAAGCCCCCACCGACATTTTTACAAAGGAAATTGTTGTTCAGAATCGTCTCAGCTACCCCTCATTTCCGGCTCCTACGCGAGTTTTGGGACACCCTGTATATAATCATCGGTCAATTTGATAAATATTCTATATTTTATCACATTTACCAACTTTAATAGGGATTATGCATAATCTCCAGTTTATTACATTTACCGTAGCATATATACTAAATAAGACAATAATTTTATATAAAAAAAACAGCCACGTCGTATTTTATATAAAATGTGTAATGTTAATGTCCAAATGATTAATTGATACAATAATATTAATGCATATAATATTGATATTATTATTTGTGATAATACGATTAATAGCAAATAATAATTCGATTTATGTCAAAGAAGGAATTCTAGCCAGAAACGATTTTGCATTTCCGAATCTTTTCATGTTCTCGATTTTCTTCCACGTACACGCTTTCATGTTCACGCAACGAACTTTTTAGAAAAAAAACCGTAGCTACCAAAAACGCAGTGAATACGGCAAAGACGAACTAACGAAAAGCACGACGACTGCCAAAGCGTGAGAATCGTCAAAAACGCTAAAACTATTAAGAGCGAAGAAACCGTCAAAAACACGAAATCCGAAAACGAGTGAGTACCGACTGATATACGTATGACATCATGTGCCGCCTATCGATGAAATGCCATAGATTTGCCAGGTGAATTTTAGTGTACTCGTAATTTCTATAGGAGTGTATGAAATTACTCAAGAAATAAAAGAAACAATGATAAAGAGATAGTGAAAGAGATGGTCTTTAATTATGGCAAAAAAAAGAATAAAGCAAATGCTTGCGACCTCTTAATTTCCACATGACGACCAGAACCAGCGAAATGGGCGTCATGATATGTAACATTTCCTTGAATGTATCAACAATTTATTAAAAGAATTTTTTTAACGCCAGGAATTATTTGTTTTTAAAGACTTTTAGGACACCCGGAATGATCGTGATGGCTTTTAGTTCTAAATCTGCCGATTAGACTCTTCAGTGGAACTTGTCTAGCAGGTTCTGCTCTAGCATTCAGTAATCGTTTCAACAGATTCTTGTTTGCGGATTATTCGGATGAAACTTAGCTACATGCTAGACAAGCTTTACCGAAGTGTTCAACTGCCGTATCCGAAAGGAAACGAAGTAATATGCTCTTTGCATTAAGGAAAGGTTTATTCCCGACATTAGGATTCCATCATTAAGAGAAAAGAAATTCTATCGCTATCCGAAACAAATCCAGTACATAATGATATACATATTTTTCATTAAAAGCAAGAATATTTTTAACGAAGTACAGAAACAAGACATCTCTTTTGGAATAAGATTAGACAGAATTCTGGAAAAATTAAATATGTCACATCCACAAATCAATCTACCGTAGAATCATAACGGTTGCCACCTCAAACAATACTTAACATAAATAGAGAAAGAAACTAAATAAATTCAACAATAATTGTATAAATTCATACTAATGTTAAGAAAGAAAATAATGCATACCTAGGAACAATAATTATAGGGAATAATAAAATTAAATACTTATTTCTAAAATAATTTTCAAAAAGAACTTCCGAAATTTATATTATTTTACTAGCATTAGAAAGAATAGAGAACATAGAAAGAAATATAAATACATTGTAACAAATTAGTACAGATAACGAAAAGATCCTTAAAGAAATCTACAACCCCTACAACAGAAACTCAACAATCTAAAAATTGCAACATGAACTGACTAAAAAAACAAATAATCTTATATCACTTATCACAAAACAACCAGAAAATTCATGTTTTGAAGAGACGGAGGGACCATGACATATATCCCTCAGTTATATTAGAATCCCAAAGTATGGCGCACAGATTCATTTAGCAAAAAGAATTTTAGAAACATGGAACCAAGAGTGGTTAATTACTAAACACACTGATCTTCGCGAGACAAGAGAAAATATATTTTCAAAAAATCCTGCTCTTCTCAGAAGAAATATAAGCCAGATATAAACAGAATTACAATTAAATTATTAATTATTTTTATTGTTAGATATAGGAAATTTGTTATCTAATCATAAGTAATTATTTGTGTAAATAAAAGTGTAAAAAATGTAATTCACAGTAGTCGCTATGATTATTACTATTTAATGCAACATAGCACCAGAAGATACACGTGTTTTGTATCGGTGTTGTGTCACTGAGAATTTTAATATCCGACGAGTAGTTTTGTATCTTCTGTATTCCAAAATATTTATGTTATTTGAATAGGTGTCGTATATGGACAATATGTCTTTAAACTCGCGATTATACTAAAAATGCAGTTAAACGTTTCTGTTCTCGTGCCTTCGGAATGTACAATAAGCAGAGGCTGTTTTCACGAGATACCAGCGAAACACGCGATAGAAATAAAAACCTACGAATAAATACGTCTAGTATCTAAAATTACAATCGACGATATTTGATTGCTGAAGCAATTCCCAATTCAAATTTTGACTGATGTCAAAATTCATGTGATTCTTGTTGTTTTGGTTTATTATTTCTAGATTGAAATCATTGACAGCACTAAATAGATAATTACGCACATATTATAGAAATAACTCTGGCTACAGTTGACCTATTGAGTTCGGACTTTTTTTTATGCAGAATCGACTTATCTACAAAACAGTGAAGACGGTTTGTCAAAATTGTATTTAGTTAAACTAATTTAAAAAGTGTGAAAAATCACAAAATAAATTTTTTTTTTCAAAATCGCCCTGTTTTTTTCTTAATTTTTGTTTAAAAAACTCATCGGTCTTTTGTAGTTCGGACTTTATAGAACGACCTATAAAAAGGTTGAGTACAATCGGATAGGGTATAGCTGAGAAAAATGTACCGATAGATGTCAAATTTTACTTACAAAGTACAAAAGTACGAAGTACAAAGTAAAAAGTTACAAAGTAAAAGTTAGTAAAAAACAGCTGGTAGTGACCCCCTTAATAGAATTATTGTTCGTTTCAGGAGGGAAGTACGACCCTATATTTTTGGACAACGCATACAAAGTTCACATGAAACTAACGATAAGTTCCGTCAGTCGCTCGGATTTTGGATCGTACAAGTGTGTCTCCAGGAACTCCTTGGGAGACACCGATGGCAGCATCAAAGTTTACGGTAAGTAATGCTAATTGCTAACCATGTGACGAATCATCCCTAATGTATGTACATACTTTACATAACACTTTTAGGAATTCTACCTGTATTAGCATCTTACTAAATAGACTATTGGAATACCACTACTTTAAATATGCATCAAATATTTCCTTTAACCTTAGCACTTTTAGTATAGACGAAGAAAATTGTTTACTACGAATTGGCAAATATTCTGTTAATCAAAAACTTTTTTCAAGATCATATTTTACTCGAGTACTCGAGCATTTAGATTTTTAAATATGTAAAAGAAAAAATTTTTTTTGTAAACCAATTGCTATTTAAACGAAGAAATACCCACCGAGACAAAACTTGTACAATATGATTTTGGAAATACCTTTTGTTCATGTTCGCATGTGAATAACAGTGTTACCAATCAGTACAGAACGATTTCCCCTGACGCAAGTTAAAAGAAAATATTTTATTTATTTATTTATTACAGTTTCTCACAAATAAAGATATTTTATTTAAAATTGAGTTAAGAGACCAATTACTTAAAAACAAGTTGCAAATTGGGGATTTAAACCCTGGTCATTTGCGCAACAGTCTAGAATTCACCATGCACCACAATACATTCAACACTAACCTAAGTACGAACCGCTTATTTCAATTGTTTAACTGCTCAATTAACACTATTTTAACATTGTTTCGAGACTTTATTATAATATTATGCATAGAAGGATAAATTTAATTTCAATTAATTATTAAGTGAATTATCATCATTCAATTAGGAACTGAAACTTAAACAAGAATGATGTTATAGGCGTAAGAAAAATAAAATTAACAGAAGATAAATCAGAAAATAAACAGAAGTAAATGACAATCAGCTGATAAATTAATTAAAAAAAGATACTTTATTAAACGTTTACGAAAAACTTTACATTTCATTTTGTTATTTATTGTTTTTATTTTTCCTATAATATTCTGCATACTTCTCTTTCTTCGTTTTGTTAACTTTTACTTTTGTTAAATCCATACTTGTGTTCCACAACCAATGTGGAATAAACCTTTAATGATATATATGTCGTATACAACATGTATAATGCACATACAAATGCCACTCTAATCAATCTCATTTGAATCACTCAAACCCCAATAATTGTTTAAATCACTGCTCCACTGTCAAGATTGATGGTGACAAAGTGAGATATTTCATTCGTAAAAATTACGAAGGAATTCCTTACGAAGGAATCGTACTATCGTGTATGCCATTGCCAAGAAATAGTCCTATGAAATCTTGAATTAATTGATCATCTAATTTACGAGGTATGATTAATCAAAATTTGCCATTTTCGTAGAATTTTACATATTTTCGTATTTTTTCGTATCATGTATCTCGTAAACTAAATGATCAATTAACTCAAAATTTCAACAGGGCACAACTACCTCCACGAACAGAAATATCTGTGAATATCTCTATGTAGTTAGTAGCGCTGTCATTGAAAAACACCTAAAAAGATTCTTCTAAACAATTTGCCCCCCAAAAGTTGCCCTAAAAATTCAGCTTATACATTTTCCCTAAATCTAGGGGCAAAACTCCCAAGTTGGAAACCCTGGTGAATAATCGCAGCGCAACGATCGAACTGATAAAACCCGTGACATGTCGCATCGATTCGACGTAAAAACAAAGGCGCATCGACATCTTCGACATATCGCCAAGATGACCGAAAACGCGCCGATTATAATTTTCTAACAGATCATCAGAGTAATTGCCAAAGAATGGAAATATTCTAGAACTCTAGATACCTACTGAAATTAGAGAAAACATCAAAAGTACATAGAATATATAGATAGAAACGTTGGACACTACTTGTAGTTTAATTTCTCACGTGAATATTATCAAAATGTCTTTTAGCATACTGCAATCTGAAACTTTGTCACCGAGATATAATCATTAAAGTTTAGAGGTGTGACTTTCAGCACGCGCTATTTGAATTCCAATTAGTCAAACGCACGACCGTACATATGTGTGTATGTATACTTATGTACAAGAAGTTTGAGTAGATACACAGTCACTTATTTTTAAAGTTAATTTTTGATATTAGGAAAACGTGTTTGGATCTTGAATCAATAAATTATCACTCCACAGACACTCCTTATTAAATTGTATATACAGGGTGTCCCAGCCTTAGTGATACAGCGCTCTAACTCCAAAACTATCGGGCGAATGCAAAATTTCAAATATGGATATTGCATGGTAAAATGAGGCTTATATTTCAGCGAGAAGGAATTTCTGTTAACTTTGTTATTTAACGAGATATGATGGTCAAGTTTCGTTTTTCAAATGGAACTATATATTTTTTGTTATACCATGCGATAGTACTTTTCAAGACGAATTCATTAAGCTTTAATGTACTTGCCCGATTTTTATTCGTTTTCAAGCTATAACGCTTAAAAATTTGCTAATTTTCAAGGAAAAATCTTGGTTCGGTCTCGGGCGGTTCCATTGATGCAATTAGCACCATGCGGTTCTTGAAATCGATACGGAAGAAAATGGTAAGGATCCCGATATTCTGGGCCTAGAATCCCAAGCGAGACCCTTCGTATCGATTTGAAGAACCGCATGGTGCTTACCGCATCAATAGGATCGCCCGGGGCCGAACCGAGCTTTTTCCTTGAAAGTTAGCAAACTTTGAAGCGTTATAGCTTGAAAACTAATAAAAATCGGGTAAATACATTAAAGCTTAATGAATTCGTCTTGAAAAGTACTATCGCATGGTATAATAAAAAAATATATATTTCCATTTGAAAATCGAAACTTGACCATCACATCTCGTTAATAACAAAGTTAACAGAAATTCCTTTTCGCTGAAACATAAGCCTCATTTTACCATGCAATTTCCATATTTGAAATTTTGCATTCGGCCGATAGTTTTGGAGTTAGAGCGCTGTATCACTAAGGCTGGGGCACCCTGTATATTAATTAAAGAGAAATAAAATTACAATGTCTATGAGAAACAAAAGTATACAATGAAAAAATATATGAGCAAATTAAAGAAATAAGTTTTATATACATTCCACGTGACACACACAAGAAAAACGAAACAGGAAGAGGAAGCATTATATTTTTCTTTCAATAGATAAACTACAGGTGGCAGCACCTAGCATCATGCTAGTAGCATGCCTCTGATCTGTAATATAATAAGGAGCGTAATTTAATGCTTATGTACAATGTATCCCACCAAACGTATTTCTGTGAGCTTTAGTATTATTGTGAACTGGTTTTAACAATTCTTCGTCCAATGAAATTCCGCGAACTGTACTTGTCTTTACGGAGATTCACATAAATAGAATATCGGATGTTATAGTATAGGTAGAATTGGTAATTAATTTGCTCTGACAGAATAGATAATTAATGGAAAAATTTGAGACCGGAATGAACAGTAAAATAATATAACGTTGAATGTACGAAACGATATTTTAGTTAAATACTCGTTATTTGTCAAATATTATCAATACTAAAGCGATAGACAAACATCGCGTGATATTATTTTTGTTAACGAATATGCTATCGTAATTTGCACGTTAAAATGCGAAATTATATTTTGAAACCTAAATTAGTAATAACAAACGTTTCTAATCTATTTTCTTCTACGTGTTTCAGCAATAACAGAAAACATGACTTCCAGCAACAGCAATACCAAACACAGAGGTGAGTTATGATTTCTGAGATTTTTATTTACATTTAAACTGTACGATTCGTTTGTTTTCTCACGAAACACAATGAGCGCAGAAAATATTCACACATCTGTTTCATTTCCTGAAAATATTTTTAACTAGCATGGAATACCAAACATTCGATTGGCTAATGGCGATTCGTACTTTCTTAAAAAGAATAAATATGTAAAAAAGTGTGTAAAAATAATTTTCAACACACACGTAAAACAATTGTGAACTGCATTATTTTATTAATGCTATAGAAATAAGGAAATACAATAGGTTCAAATATACATAGAAACCTACGTAATAATTTTCAATAATATCAAACAAAAAGAATTTTTTTCGCCGCTCGTTGATCACCTAAGCTCAACATACATACATTATATGTGACTCTTGACACTAGGAATCAAGTACATAATTGACCTATGTCATTGCTCGCTTTGTGTTGAGTGGTACTTTCCGAATGATGCGGCGCAACGTACTTGAGATGAAATAACGGGTCGCTGATTAATTAGATCGAGTGTGTAGTTTGTGCATGCCTGTCCACACCGTGGATATTCTCTTGAATGAACCTCTACAAACAGTAGACAAAAGTCTATGCTGTCACCAATACACTTTGTCAAGGTTCGTTTCACTCTGTAGTAAAGCAACTTTACCTTTCCCAATTAAATTGCAAAGAATTGGTGCTAGGATTATTAATCTGAATTGTACTTAAGTATAGAGTTACTCAATTGGATTTTTAAATAAATTATGTATTGTTCACAGACTAAAATGATATGATCATTTAGTGATTTTACATGTAATTGTTAAGCAAATTTATTTTTTATAAAGCCACGTGACTATCAAGTGCTTGGACATTAAAATTTGAAGATATTCAAAAAGTTGAGATACTCGTCGTGGCTTGTGAAAGGCTTGTAATGCGTGATAATTTTCAGAGCTTAGGTTTCTGCGAAAAATGTACTCTGCAGAGTGTTTACGTTCAAATTGTCTCGCGTCTTGTTTTGTAAATGAGTGATACGAGAAAAAAAAAACTATAAGAAAGAAATAGGCAATATGTGTGTTACAGTAAATGTAATAGATTGGGAATTATGCATAATACCCACTAAAGTTGGTAAATTCGATAAATCATGGAATATTTATCAAATTGACCGGTGATTTTATATAGGGTGGGATACGCAATTGTTTCAAGTAATAACTCCGTTATTATTGCATTTACGAAAAAATGCCAAAGGAGAAAAATAAATGGTACGAAGAGCACTACATCTGTAGGACTTAAAATTTTTTTTAGATGCAGCAGTGCATATGCAATTAACAATTGCATCATTTCTTTAAACAAAAATGCATATTTGTTTTTTACACAGATCGATTCTTCTGTTCATTCTACGTGAAAAATGATTAGGGTACCATGGCAAATAAATTATTAGATCTCGAGATGTTTTCAAAAAATGTCTTTATTGAAGAAGATACTCAAACGCTTCATGATTAGTAAGGTAAACACGCTTGTAAAGGTAAACACCCTTTTGACATTGTTCTCATAACAGAAACTGATTTGTACGAGTAAGCATTTCATCATTCAGTAGCAATTCACGAATCGTAACTCGAGTACGAAAACTAAGAATTTGAAAAAGTGTAACTGTATTTCACTAAATACAAAAAAATGTATTTTACTAACAGTGAGAAACAAGATATGTACGACACTTTTGTGTTGTGTGATGCAGATAATTTAAACACAGTTATGCAAACAATAAAAGAATGTTATCAGAAATGTTTAGAATGTAATGGAGAAGCGTTTGAGCATCTTCTTCAATAAAAACATTTTTGAAAATATCTCGAGAACTAATAATTTTTTTGCTATGATATCCTAATCATTTTTTACGTAGAATGAACGGAAGAATCGATCTGTGTAAAAAAAAAATATGCATTTCTATTTAAAGAAATGATGCAATTGTTAATTGCATATGTACTGCTGCATCTAAAAAAAATTTGAAGGCCTACAGATGTAGTGGTGTTCGTACCATTTATCTTTCTCCTGTGGCATTTTGTTGTAAATGCAATAATAACGGAGTTATGACTTGAAACAATTGCGTGGACCACCCTGTATATTTTTGGGTAAATTTATCATAACAGATTGATAATTTGTAGCTTCTTGCAAGCCCCATAAATCGATTTAGGTCATGATACTTGTTCTAAAACATTGCGACATTCTTCCTTCTTCTGTATTTTCCCTTACGACATTCATTTGCAAGAAAAATGTTGGACAGTAATAACGCGAACGTTCCGCATAAATGTAACCTGACTGCTCAAAAGTTTTCCAAGGACAGTTCAGCTTCGTCGTTCGCGCAGGCTCGTTTTTCAAGTCGAGACGGAACTATTTCTGTGTGAAATTGTGAATGAATAGGAACGGCCGTGTCAGATTTACAAGCCGACCATCTCATTTGCTCCCGACAGCCTGCTGGTTGCGAAAAGGACGTACAAAAGTCGGCAGAATCCGTTGCAGAGAGCTAGACGTTTAGATGAACGGCTATATAAAAAGCCACGAATGAATGCCATTTTGAACTCACACTTTGTTCATCAACCCTTTTCTCTTCTCGAGTAAAACGCAAGCCTTCTGCCAAATTTTGTTCCGTTTTAAAATGAACATAAACGTTAACTAAAATGTTACTATTCAATTATTCGCTAAAACTGCTTTCAACCGTTTCAAAAATTGCGTATAAAGGATTCCTTAATTCAAATTAACCAATTTTATTCAATATTTCTTCCAGTTTCAAACTTATTCTGTGAAAAATGGGTATCGCTAAATATATAAATTTGTACAATTTAGTAACAATACATGAAAAATATATAATAGTCAATAGCTGTGAGAAGACTTTAAATTGAACAATCTAATTAGTTTAGAGCGCATGTACAAGTACATATTCTTTATGTTTGAGAAAATCGAGCAGTGCAATATTTACATTTATTAACTTTCTTTTGATTTAATGACTTTCCTAAATCATATCGTCTGATATATCGTTTCCTTTCCTTTGAAATAATTCTCCGTGAAATCTCTTTTCATTTATTCCGCATTTACATTTACGCTTTCTTTTTAAACGCGAACAATGGAAACATTTCTTCAGTTTTACGATCTAGTATCTGCTGTATAAGTAGTATTGTTATAAATCAGATATAGTTGAAGATATTTTAACTATTTTTAAAAATGTAAGTGCATTAAAGAATATGTAGCATTTATATACAAAATCATTGAATTCGGTTGAACACTTTCATTTATTTAAACGAAAATATGAAACGTAAAGAGAGGTTTTATAAATTGATGGACATCTTTGAGGGTAATTTAAGGTAGGAACATGCATAGCGTAAAGTTTTTCAGAGTAAACGAGTTATTTTCGGGTAACTTTTAACCTCTCTAAAAGTTAAATAGTCTAAAATGGTGAAAAAGCACTTTGTAGCTTAATTATTTAGATAAGGCAGAGAGTACACGAAAAGAACGGTCGTTTTTATACAAATGCATTCGAATTAACCTCTTCTCACACCCTTGGCCATATATGTCGATGCTTAGTTTTTTATATGTGATTGGAATTACTGTCAATAATAAAGAGAACAAAAATGTGATAATAACAAAATAAGTCGTCCCTGAAGAGGTTAAGTAACAAATAATTGATCGAAATACATACTCTTAGCTCTTTACTTTTGAAATATTCTGTTTACAAACACTTTTATAAATTCATGATTTACTATTGGCTCATCAGCCACCAATATTTGCGTCCACACTCAAAAGCTGGGAATCGATATATGCAAAATATTTTGATGCTAACAGATTGAGAGGCGAAGTTGCGTTCGATGGAAGATTTATAGGCCCGTCTGGAGCCATAGGTCAACTTTATTGGACACTGTCTACTTCTATGTGTAGAAATATCTACCTCGAAACTTACTTCAACTATGGCAGCATTGATGACGAATAAACCTATAAGATCAAAATACGATATCAGCATTTAGTTGTAAATTAATGAGGCGTTAACCGTCGATATCAAACACGAAATTTGCAGATTTGTTCATTTATTTTAATTCTTAAAAGAATGAAAGAAAACTGGCAATGTATAAATATTAATTTTAAAGAAGTTCAACTTACAAAGTTAAAAAGATTAATCACTTACTTTCCATAAAAGTATTTGAGTTATTCTTTTGCATTATTTTATAATAGTTAAATATATTTTCTACGCGCAGATGATCTCAAATTTCCATTGACAATAATGAAATGGAGTGAGTAAACACAAAGGAATTGAAAATAAATGACAGGACTGTTTCAAATATTTACCACCCCATAAAACAGAGGACGATATAAACATTTTATACCACTCGATAAATCACGGAAAATGCGACGGTTTAATAAATATTGAATTTATCGTACAGAGAAAATATATTTTTAAATATTTGTTTGAAGCTTATTTCACTTATTCAATGTTGAAACTTTAATTAAGTTATACTACGTTTGCTAAAATTATTTTATCGAGCTTAGGAAAAAATATTCAAGCGTGAAAGGAACGAATAAAAATGATTAAGCACGTACACGGAACGCGTGTTTCTTTAATAAGAAAATACACTTATTTTTATCTAATAATAATGGAATTGCGTGGGAAGAAACTAAAAACGTGTAAGCTGAAACGTAACGAAAGTCCTTAACAATTTTCAAACAAAACTGTCTGGTTTACCTTGAATTCTACTAGAATTTGTGCTAGTTTCTCTTATCGAGCACCAACGACCCTGTCCTCGTTCGTTTCTCTCATTACTTGAGAAAATACACGGCTCTAGGATGCATTTTTCACCGAAACAAACGTACTTAGGCTCCTGCTTCAGGAAAACGTGCGATCGGTGTTCTGGTAGCGACGAAAAACCAACCACAATTTTCCATCTTCATCCGTATTTAACGTCAGCTCCGGTTCAAGCTCTTTGATCGAATAAATGGAACAAGAACTCGCAATTTCTCTTTTCCTTCTTACTCTCCATGTTTTATAAAGAGAAGTTAAATAATAACATTGGACGGAGTGAAATATTTCAAGTGTGTACGACAATAAAAGCAAATATTAAAAGATTTGTAATATGTACTACTTCATTGAACTGTACATCGTGAAATGGTACAGTTTAAAAGAATCTAATGTTATACCGAAGAATGGTGCTTTTAACGATAAATGATATACATGTGATTTTATTCAGTTCTTTTGCTATATCGTAAAACACGTAATTCAATGACAATAAATCTTTTAATGTTATTTTTATTGCAGGAAAATTGAGATACAAATCGAAGAATGATATTTTTGACGGAAATCAGGACATGCTAAAAGAGCGAGGTAGGTACAGAGCCAGACAATCAAACACCTATTTCAGTAACTATTAATTGCAACTATCGCAGCTAATTAAAAACTCTTCGTTAGAAGATTGATGTTTGATGTTTAATACAAACTGCACTAAAAAGTATGAAATACTCACCAATTCTAGATATTATTGCTTAAAAGTATGAAATAATTTCTATTTCCTTTATATTAAATTATGTTAAATAACCTTTTCGTAGTCTATTAGGGTTACATCCTCCGTTTAGACAGCTTGACGCACTCAGATTTTTGACGTACTTTTCAAATTTTGTAATTATACAATTTTTCAATAATTTTGAAAATTTCAATTTAACATCTTTACAGCCGGTCACTACCCACGAGACCTTCCAAATGTTATTTCAACCGTTATACTTCTCACCCTTTAATGGCTAAAATAACCAGCGACTTCAAATAATCATTAATTGAATTTTCAATTATAAATTATAAAATATTGTTATTCGAAGCCTCTCACGTTATAGTATCCAACAAAAAACTATTCTTCTGACTAGTAACTACTCAAAACACTGCGTTGTATTCTATTCTATGGACTCAATCACTCATGATATTTATCACATTCTCCATTATGAGATTGAAATTATATTTAACGGTATTCAATGTTGCCACCCCCACTAACAACAACCCCAAATCTACTGAGACAGTATTTCCGTGTAGATAGTATCTGGATTAATAATTTTATCACATCACCCATTACTAGTTGGTGATTATATTATATCGCCGGTCAATTTGAAAAATATTCCATAATTTATCACATTTACCGTAGCATACATACGTGCATGTACATGTGTGTAAATATACCAAGAGATGTATGTAAACAAATATGGTAGTTTTATTTCTTTTTAAGTGCATTTTGAAAGTCCACTGACGCAGTAGGTACTTGGTAGAAACGTCGTATCATAAAATAATAAAGATCGTATAAAATCTTCCCGTATAATTTCTGACTATGTTTACTGAAAACAGAGTTATAGTGTAGCCCAGTCACTAAACAGAACCTGTATATTCTTCGAGTAAGAATTAACGCGATAACGATGCAATTCACTTTTACAGATCTGAAGTTGCGAGGTCGGAAAGAAACAGACGGAAACGAAGCTGATGATTACGACGATTCCGGAGTGATGACGAAGGAGAACCCTTTCACTCTGGTCCTCGTTTTGGTCGCGTTTACCATTTACCTCCACCACCATCCACAGTTAAGAACGCTCCATCCTGTTTAAGAATCAGCCATCATCATGTTATCGCATCAAGAAAGTTTTCTTTCGATCCCAATTCATCGAAAGTTTATAAATCCATCAAAAAATCCATCGCTCAGGGACTCCATTCCAGGATAAGTATCATGAATTCCGCTGACCACTTACACGGTAGTATAAGGTAACGTTATATCGTTTAACGATGTTAGGTATCGTAAATTATTCGTAAATTATTCGTAAACAGTAGTTCGGTAGATCAAGAGTGGAATGTCATTCTTTACCGTGGAAACAACACGTAGCGTTTAATGTGTAGCACGAACAATAACGAACACAAGAGAATTCTGCGTTAACGATTATTGAGTTAGTAAGTTTGCACGATGAGTACAGAAAACCTTCCTCACGCTTAATTACAAGTATTACATTCAATGATGGTTCTTAAAACTAGTCAGCAACAAAAACTAATTCCTCGCTAATTCTTGCGTAGTCATTTATATTTAAATAGTTCGTGAATGTAATAATGAACTTGCGTACAGTGTTAAATACAACGTGCATAATCCGTTGTCTTTTTATGATGCCAGCGAAATTCAAGATAACATTCTAAAAAGTGTCACAAACATTTTTTCTAGATAATTTCTCGTAACTTCTATTATGAGAGTATCAAGCATTTTCGTCGATTCCTTTGTTTTAATGATCGCTACCAAGAGGTAACGTCCTTCTTATGTAAAACGGTATGTATTGTGAAAAATACTAGGACTAATTATTTATTATTTATGACTACCGAGGTAGCGGATGTGTGAAGTCATTCTAACGGATAGCTAATAAATAATTATATTTATTATTTATACGTTTCTTATAATATAGGTATGTATTATAAAAAACGTCTAAGAATAGGAGATCAGGACTAAAGTACAATAAAGAAATCAATAAGGAAAGTAAATGTTAATTTGATGTCTGGAATAGTTTCTCGTACTTGAAACATACATTAGAAAACTTCATTCTTCATTGCTACATATTTGTAGACATTTTCCTCACATAAGTACTTATGAAAAGAAAAAGGTTCATAAATTGTATTTGTACAAGTCGAATCGAAGCGAAGAGATGAATCAATTTACTAATTTTTTTATATTTGAGTTTTCAAAGAAATGTAAAGCCTTATAATTGATTAATGCTCTAAAAGATAACCCTTTTTCATTTTTTATCTAAAGAAAATCATACTACAATACATTAAGGAAATGATTGATATGTAAAATAGTAGATGAGGACAATTTTATAAATATACACCTAATAGTGAACGCTTAATAACTTGTATCAACAACGTCGGTGGAAGGCTCCATAATTCGCATTTGTACCAAAGACACTGTTCACTGAAAAAAATAATCCAACACATAAATTACTGTACATATACATATATACTCGATATATGTATATTATATACGATTACACATAAGATAACATGTTCCATGTATCATATTTGTATAGCATATCGCATGTGTGTATATAACATACTATAAATAGTGTATTATGGAGAATAGTATTATCCAAAGACTGAGGGCGTTGTTTCGATGCTCTTTAAACTGCATTAAACAACTTGTGGCTGAGCAAATTTTTAAATATCGCAGGGGTCGGAAAATCATGGATCGCTTCAACATATGAAATTAAAATTGAAATTCTTGTGTCAAGTATTAAGATTCGGATTTCATGTCTGATAATTTATTAACCGATTGGTAAATAATAGCCAGTTAAAAATGTATTTATTACTCAGCTAGTTAATTCTTAACTCACCATTCTGATATCATTCGTCGGGATGCGTTCATTATTAATTGGTTCATGTTTCTAGTTTCTAGCGGTACTGTATAAATTTCCATCTATTTTCTCTCATATCCTTACTATACGTATCAAAGTAGAACAATATTACAAAATTACCATATCAGGAAAATTTATTCGCTGTTACAGCATGCGAATGAATCAGAATATACACGGTAACTCATTTAAATACGACTGTTTTATAAATCATTGGATATATAAAAAAATGTTTCAGACAAGAGTTGATTGACTTGAATAGGTGAAGACGAATCTACTTTACTTCATACAAATTGAAATGTGCCATACCCTCTTCGGTTTTTTTTTTGGATATTTTTTACATACTAATTTCAATTTACCTACGTAACGTTTACATTAAGATGGACATATTTTAATCATTACCACTATTTCTTAAAGCGAATTATCCTTAGGCAAACAAAATAAGAATTGACAGTTTATGGTATAAATCTGAATGTAATAATTTGTACATTTCATATACAGGTTGCTCAAAATGTTTATGAACTAGACTTAATTATTTCACGTTGAATAGGAATGAATGCCCTTAAATATATTCAGTAGAAATATTTAAAGAGAAGTGAAGCTGATTATTTAGTTCTAGCAAATAAATAGAATAAGAGATAATATCAAGGGGGAATAGTGAGATTGCTCGCTATGTTATGTGTAATATAACATTCTACTTTGAGATAAAATTTATTATTCGAAGACATAAAGCATATCTGAGAACACGGATTGTTTCCGAAAGCTGCTACCACATGTAATAAAATATCAAAAGATAATCTACCTTTACTTTGATTGTTTAACGAGTAATTTGTAAATTATCCAAGAAGAATAAAAATGATTAATGCTTACAGATAATGAATATTTTCAAGAATCAGTTAAGGAAATAATCCAGTAGTCTGAAAATAACAATCGGAACACTTAATTAATTCTCAAAGTATCGATATTGTAATATTTTCAAATTTCACCGTTAAAGTTTCTATCAGTTATCACTTAAATACCATTTACTTGTAAACTTCACGTACTTTGTTGCGAATATACGTTAAACATTTGGACTATCTGTCGATTTCTACAATTTAATTTTGAATCTTACTAGTTTTACATGAGTAATCTAAAATATATGTAGATACGTTAAATAAACAAGCGGTAACCGAGTGTATGATAGTATTATAGTAGTTCTTAAGGTATGAGAATGTTCATTTTCAATTACTTTGAATATTCCCAGATAGCACCAGATGTCCCATGGACGTCCATTTTATGTCCAGTCTACGTCCAAATGTCCGACGTCCGTTGTCGGACGTCCTTAGGACATCCATGGGACGTAAATTTTGTACGTCCCAGGACTTCCGCCCGGAACGTCCTACGAACGTCCATGGGACCTAAATTCTGTACGTCCCAGGGACGTCCGCCCGGGACGTTCTACGAACGTCCATGGGACTTAAATTTTGTACGTCCCAGGGACGTCCGTTCTGAACTTTCTAGATTTAGGGAAAAATACTTTTTTTTAAACAAAATAAATATTATTTATTAATATTATGTATATTAAATATTATTTATAATATAATATTTATTCAATATGTAGAACAGAATATTTTTTTTCGAATATAAAATACACTATTTACAATGGTAAATTAATATTAATTAATTAATTAATATTATTATCCCAGATAGCACCGGACGTCCCATGGACGTACAGAGAATGTCCACCCCAGACATCCCAGGGACGTCCTGCGATGTAACTGGGACGTTCCAGGGACGTTCACAAGACGTTCAGGGGACTTTTGATCGTTATCTGGACGTCCAGTACCGGACGTCTTATGGACGTACATAAGATGTCCCTGTGCTATTTGGGTATGAATATGTGCTGTTAAACTTCTAATGCGAAATTTTTGTCCTTGTTTATGGAAAAGATGATATGTGCCCACGCAAGAACGTGACAGTTTCTACGTTTTGAAAAAGATCATAAGAATATGATAATCGATTTTCCTGACTTTAGCTTGTTACAAATTATGTCTCTATTTATTTAAAAACTGATTAGTTATTTTACCTTAATCAATCATTTTTATATAGTGTGCCGAATGATATTAGTTGGCATGTGTAAACATAACAAGCTATTTAGAAAAATAGCAGACTAGAATAAATTTGATCGACGTTCATATAGTTAATGACCACTTGTATTACTATCAAGGTCTACATATCTAAGTAACACGGCTGAACAGATATTATTTATTTTGCACTTCTGTAACGCATTGTTTACGTGAAATGCTTGACGTGGGAAATTTACGCTACAAAATGGATATAATAAATAACTAACATTAATAGATACACGTTCAACAAAACATATCAACTGTCTGTGTTCTCATATAATAAAAAGATCCTCATTTATATGTAAGGACCCTCTTTAGAAAAGTCAATTAATAATTGCGATAATTGCGAGTTACTATTTCAGTAATTATCACACATATACATATTTGAAGTAATGCGTATGAAATTGAGTGTTCTGGATAATTTATTTAATGCAATAAAGTCACCACTATTGTATTCTTTCATTATCTTCAAATTTAGCTTAGATATGATATCTTGTAAATCAGACTATGATTTGCTATATTCTTACTTTAGTTTTAATGAGTTATTGTCTGCCCTACAGCAACACGTATTCTATTATATTTCATATTGAAAATGAAGATATTCGTGAAGAAAAGCATAGCTCTGTAATAAAAGTAAGCGAATCGAATTTATTTTATCATTGCTTGACATTTGTATTCACTGTTACACAGTACCACATACTTTATAAAATATAGTTCTATTTTTATATATAAGTTATTTGTCGCAAATCATACATTAAAGTGTCTCAAAATATTGCATAATTCTATACCTTAATTAATTCAGCGATAAGAACGGCAAATATCATTTCAAGAAAGATGATCTATGATCTTTCGCCATTGTTCTAAGAGGAATCGTATTCCTCTCTAATATTACATTGCTTTTGGGATGCAAAATATTCTGAACCCGCTTTGATAGTTAGATAGAAGTACTAAATTTTGTTTCCGGCTATGGCGTCAAAGCACTAAAATTAGCTTTTACGTCACTTGCTCTAACTATGAAACAAACAAACATTCAAAAGACAAGGGCATGCAAGATATTCTTTTATAGTCAGAATAAAAAGATTATTCCAGCAATGTATTAATACGTATAGTTTATTTTGGTGCTATAACAGAAAACAAAGATGATTAAAATACACAAAATTGTCTGGGATGCCCTAACACTGCTACATTATTAATAATTGCATATATTTTACAAGAATTATTTCTGTACAAAATTGTATACAAATTCTAATGAAATTTTTAACCAAAATCGATTTCCCCTGGTATATTCGAATATTTGTAAATGAATTTTAGTAATTGCAACAATTATGAATAATTGTGCATAGAAAGTAATAGATACTTTTGTATTATCAGCATTGTAGATACCATCGAACCGACGTTGAATGATCGATGTAATTAATTGTGATGCGAAACTGTGAGATTTGTAACAAAAGCGAACAATATGAATGCTTGTAAGTAGAAGTTAAGCACCATAAAAAGTGGAAATAAGTTAAACGAGCATATAGGAAAGTAAGGCGATACTTTGTAGTGTACAGATAGAATGCGTTGCCCTGCTATGTAGTGGCGTAACTATATATGCCTCTATAATATATAATAGTATATAGTACATTAATATACGCGAATGAAAATAAATATAACTCATAAATGAATAATATATAATATATATTATTATATATATATTATATATATATATACATTATTATATATATTATATAATATTTATTTATGAGTTATATTTATTAATATGTGCTGTTAAACTTCTAATGCGAAATTTTTGTCCTCGTTTATGGAAAAGATGATATGTGCCCACGCAAGAACGTGAGAGTTTCTATGTTTTGAAAAAGATCATAAGAATATGATAATCGATTTTTCTGACTTTAGCTTGTTACAATATATATTATATAATATATAATAATAATATATATATTATTATTATATTATATATTATTATAATATATATACCTTCGTTTAACAATGACTTAATTACTTGTTTGATTTGAAAAATAGATGTAATTTGTATCGCGAATTGCAGTTCATGTTCGAAACAATCGAAAAAACCGAAAATAACTTCATCAAATCGCGCGATTATTTGCTATTGCTTTCGCAATATGGTTGCGCCATACGTCCTGCTTTCAACACACAATCTAGTTTTACAAGCTCTGTCGAGACTAGAAGATTTTCCATTGTCCATGTATACAAGAAATATAAGTTTACCACATACTTTTGTTTTGAATTTATTTCATCTTTAACGACATCTAATTAGATAAGCGCGAATTACAATATATTCTTTTAAATGTTTCGATGATCGTGGTAAAATTTCTTTGAAACTTTTCGTTCTTAGTACATTTTTTCCTTTTCTTGAAAGTAATGAAGGATGAACCAAGAAAACCAGAATCTACATAAAAAGTACATTAATTAATTCTAAATGAAAAACCATGTACGCTGAAATGCTCATTGGTGTTCTGAAAGGTAGGTACCGTTTATAAAAGAGAAATAATATACTTTCAATATAAATTACTTTCTTTAATTACTTATAGTACAGATTTTAGCTAAGTTACTTCAAGATTCTATAATCGATTTTTGCTGTGCTATTTTACAGTATAATCGCACACAACACGTCTGTGACAAAAGTATATTTAAAATTGATAGGAAGACGAATGCATAAAAGGGGATCATGCTTTTAACAAGAGAAGATTCTGTAAACATAAATTTCTCTTAATTTTTACCTACATTGTATCACTATGAACTTATTTTAGGTCTATGCTAATTAGTTTATTTGTAAAAATCATTCGTAATTTCACTTGTACGCATTCGTATGTAATACAATAAACAGAGTGAACCTTGATACTGTGTATGTCAACATTTGTAGAAAAAATGTACGAACGTATACATAGAATTAGTCGCTTACACGCAATAAACTAAATATTTACCGATTTATTCAATCACCATAATTTTCTTTCAGTCGGACATACATTCGAACTAGATCTGCACTGACGGCAAGATATTTTACATTAGCTTTTGTTTACGAAAATTGCATACAATCTTTAGAGAACACAGGAGTTGAAACTAATCTCGCAAGTGTTCCTTATAAGGAAAAGGATATTATCCACCACGTTGAGAATTACTACGTTCGATATAACTTAACCGAAACTAGTGTGTTATTTTTGTCTACCTTGCTATGCGTATGTACAGATTTTACAATAAATATCGTCAACGACAAGCAGACTATTATTATTCAAAGTTAGATTTCTTGTTTAGAACTAACGTTTCTCCTATTAATAAAGCAGATTGAAAATGTTAGTAAAGGAATTATTCAATAATGTATTACAAACAATAGCTGAACATGTTTTGTTTCTTAATAATGGCAACCTATGATATGTCTATTTTAACACTAGCAAGTTAATATTTCTAAACTTGCGAAAGTTATTATACAAGATTATTGACGATATTGATGTTTCAGACGTATAACTAACTTTTCAGTAATCAATTGTTTATTGATTGTTGATTGATTGTTATCGAAATATAGTAGACTATACAAACAACTTCTTCTGTTCATCGTTGACGACATTAATTGTTACTTTACAGTGCGCAGCTCTAACGTTCGGCAAATGAAACAATCGACTCGGCTGGAGGAGAGCTACCAGGCTAGACATGCGCAATAATCTCATATAATTTCTTTAGAATTGAAATTACAATTCAGACCATAAAATTAAATTTATACGCAATATTCGAGAATAGACAACTAAAACTGTAACTATTAGGTCGAATGTATGTCAGGAGTAAATCTCTATACGTTGGTTTTATCCGTTATCTACTATTCGAGTTAAATATTCCCGCCTCGGGCGAGATGCTTCGCAAGTCAATTCATTTGCCGGACTTTAATAACAAATGAGCGTGTACGCAATATTTGCCTATGATTAATATTTACAATGCACGTGATGATAATCACGAGATCCAATGCATAGAATGATTTGTTTGATAATTGACTAAACCATTTGTATACAACACAATCGGAAAGTAAAATACGAAGTCAATTTAACGATTAGAATAACAAAACTAAAACTAAAAATGTTGTTCGCATAAATTTGAAATTGGAAATTAATGAAATGTTTTGATGTTTTGGGCCTTAATATAAAAAAATTCTTAACGTAAGTGTTCGTTTTACAGCCACGTGTATTCGAGTGAACAAATAATGTTTAGTGTAACAAGCACATGTACAAACGATACGTATTTTATACACAAACTCATATCAGAATAATATGTACAAATTAATTTTTACTAATTTAAGTAGTACATAGACATTTTCATACTCCTGTAATGTTATATTCTTATCATATTTACAGATATATGCAAATCATTACTTTTAGGAAGAAAATTTACACATAACGTTGTTTCTTCGATTTTATACATTGTTGCTTGTATCTGTATTTCTCGGTCACAAATTTCATCGCTCATCACCTTTCAAATATTTAATCACCCAACGCTGAAACTTGTTTTATAATATACACATACATGTTCTCATCCGTTTTCATACACACTTTATTTATGCAGAATCGTTTCAACGAATACGCTGTATTGCGTTTCTTCTACGGCTAGCAATATGGATACAATGCATTATCGGTGCACGCTATTCTCCCTTATTAGCCTAAGTAATATTGCGTAGTACGCATACATGTAGCACTCGCACATGATGATACGCTAATTAAATTATACATCGATTAGGCCGAATATGCATTAACTCGTCAAATTGTTCGTGTGAACGGCAAATCTGTTGATTGTACGAGTTAGCATAGATACGTGTTTACCAGCAACGCAAATTAATATTCGCTAATTAACATGAAAGGATTAAAGTAATTGTCAGTTGAGAACGTCTTTCTTTTACAGACCAAGGCGTTTGCATTTTATTGTGTCTCTTAGATAAACGACGTCACTGGAGAAGTGGAAACGCGAAAAGGTAGAACATAAAATGAGAGGCGATCTTCAACTTTGATAATCACAGGTAAGAAACGTTCCGTGAAACTATCGAACGAAAGTGCACCGGTAAAGAGTTCTATCATTTCCGCTTGTAGAACCGACGGAAATGAAAGGATCTCATTTGACTAACGATGCGTATGATTTCAGAGCTTTTCACCTGACGAACAAAGAAAGAAAGAAAAGAGAAATCGATAATATCGGGCAAAACAGATAAAGGGAACAGCCGTTAAGCTGCAGTACTGGATAATACTGCAACATCAGATAATTAGTTAAAAAATACTTAAAGTTGTTTTTATTTAAAACAATGACCATATTTTTTCTACGATAATTTATTTTTCGAAAACCTTCGTTGGTACTACTACGTATAATAAAGTCGTATATTGAGATTTTATTTAAAATCGTATTAAATTCTTTTGAATTAAAAAAATGCCACGATCAATAAGAAATTTTAAAAGTGATTAATATATCTATTAATACATTTATTTAGTAATATACTTTCAATAATTTAATAATAAAGACTTTTATCATTTAAACACAAACGTTTAACATAAACGAATAATTTTCCTAAACAGAATGAAATTTTCATTTGAATATTTCACTACTTAAAAATATATAACGTACGAATATAGATAACTTGAACGGGTTGGATAACTGTATAGATTGATTTCAATATCAGTAATTGAACAGCTTTAAAATAAAATAAAATTCTCGGATGAACTGCTTAGTTTGAATATTTCACTACTCAAAGAAGATACCTACACTAATATATAAAATTTGCCATTTCTATGCGATTAATTTATAATATCCTTAAATTTGTATATATTTATGTATTATAATAGAGGACTTTACAAACGCTGAGAAATGTAATACCGTCTATGCATAGCTTAATACAACATAAATTTTGTTTGTACTACCTATATTGGAACAAAATTTCCATTAATAATACTCGTAGAACAGACTTTTATTCCATTCTATTCGTTGGAAATACATTGTCATTACGATTTAGAGATATACGATTTAAAATGATAAAATATCTGACACGATGAAATACAAAAATACGTATCTTTGTTTAATAATGGTTGTTTATCCATCGAAAAGTCATACTTATGAATTTTCATCGCAAACTATACATAAGTAGAAAACGTATGGTATGATCGTTTTCTTAACGCGTTAAACCCCGAATAAGTATTACGTAATATGTCAAAATCGCCTAATACGCGTAATATATCATTCTACAACACACTCCTTATCATTTTTACAAGGTGACTCGCATAAAGTGCTATAAAAATGATTATAGGGGTGGGGTTAAAATTCGTCTGTTTCATATTTTAAAGTTAACGTTTTAAATATTTGACACAATGATTTCTAGCATCTATCGTGGTTGCTTTGATGTGTTATTTTTCTTAATTTTGTAGTTACTAAAGAGCAAGAATGATTTCTTGCCTTATTCGGTTGATTAATGAACCATCGATGAGGTTGATATATTTGATAAGAAATGAATATTTCTAAAAAAACTTTCAAACATACCGTAATATGTGTTCCATTTAAAAACATAATGGGAATGCTATCTCGTTTTAAAAAGTGGCTCGATAAACGTAAGTACTACATGATGTATGATACCAGCAAATCCTCAAACAACTCAAAAAGATGTACTCTCCTGGTATTTTCAATAATTTGTCTCAATCGATTTATGTTATCCAATCATTTATAAATGAAATTCCGAAGTGCAATCATTTCTAAAAATAAATTGTGGAGCGTTGACTGTTGAAAAATACAAAGTAGATCATGAGACTACACGCATTAAGGTGCTAAATAATTTTTGACAAACTCTTAGGACAATCGTCTTTGTAATAATTAATAATATTTAGATGGAGTTCGTGATTAATTTACAACTAGTAATATGTACATCTGACAACGGTAAGTAAATCATTTTCCATGAAATAATTTAAGAATTGTTTTCTTTTATGACTTTAATAATTAAGTTCATAAATTCACGTTAGCAACATTAGTCGTCCATTGGATCGGACAACAACGAGAACTCTAACCTTCATCAGGATGATAAAAAAGGTTTTTCTACAAAACCAATTCGCAAGACCAATTTTTATCATTACCATGTTCACGCTTGAAAAATTTAAAATATTTGATTACATTAGCGAAGTTGCTGAATGATATAGGAACAAACAATTTGGCAGATGGGTGCGTGGCTCATTGTTGTTCGATAAATATAGGTAATAAATGAGAAATTAATTAAGATTAAGAATTCAAACATACCCGTGTCTTCTAAAACTAGTTCGATTTGAAATATTATCTACAAATTCTTCCAATGAATTCAAGGTGTAAAAATATCGTCAACGAGAAAAGTAAACCTCGTATTAAAAGATTTTAGCTTCGGATATTATAGTCGCAACAGTTATGATGATTACGTTGTCGATTCACACCCATTAATTGATCCCTTTCGTGGATGAGATAAATGACGATGAACAGGACGAATCTTGATCCCCGAAGGATTTTCCTCGAATAACCATTCTTTTCGTTGGTAGACACTGACGCGACTACGACAGGGTAGATAGTAGGATTATGCAGATGGCCGCTCTAGATTGTGCCAGAAAATTCGAGCTAGTACCCCTGGATGACATGGATTGCGCCGTGTTGTCGATTCTTCGTGGTCGTATCTCGCTGTCGATACTTTTTCGTCCCTTTGACGTTACATCGTTTTCAGCGCCATTGTAGCCATCGCTGCTAGCTCTGCCATGAAGCCGTATATCTAAGAAAATATGATTGACATGTTATACATCATAATTCCCAATATAGAACTGTAAATAATAATAATCTCGTGGGTGTCTCCCGATAAATTCAACAAAATTTCAATCTATTCGACTCAACAGGAAAAACTTATTACTCGTTGATAAATTATCATAATTTCCCTTTTGTATTAAACTAAATATTGCACGATCATCTTCTATTATTATTATTGTTATTGTGATATAATTGCATAATTTTGTATTATTTTTTTTGTAGTAACATTTGAGTTTGATCTTTCGAAAAATATGAAAATACAATATATCTGCACTGTAAGCCATCGATATATGAATTATCTATTACCTTTACGTTCTTCAATTATGACCTTGCACACTTTGCCTTCTAACCTTTTTCGCTCTTCCAACCCTTTAGCTACTGCAGTCGGCTTTTGTTGACTTACTACATACAAACGACTACAGTCGGTTTGTAACCTTCTGTCATTGCTGAGCTAACATTGGTTTTCTTCGCCCAGCGACGCGTAATTTCGTAGAAAGTTTCTACTATTCAAAGTGATTTTATTTGAACTGTTCATTAAAGTAATTTACTCCGTTTCATTCCACAGCGACGGACTTAAGAAAATGAAAGAAAAATGGCGTAACGGAATTGTTAACATTAGTCAGTTTATTTCGATGTTTAATTCGAGAATGTATATAACGTCTTTATAGATTGAATCAAGCAATCGTAAATAGTTGAATAAATCTCCTCGCGGTATGATATGTATAATCGTGCTGTAATGTTTAAAACAATTAGACAACGATATCCAATACGTATAATTCGAGGAAATTCAATTTGACATTTTAATGAAAACTTCAGACAAAAATAGAAATGGAAAGAGAATAATTTGATGAAGAAAATGCGCATTGAAAATACAGATTCAGATAGAAATTCTGAGCTTATTATGCTCCTTCTCGGGTCGCATTTCCTGTCTTTCACTGCTTCTTCCTCGACTATATTCCACACTTTATGCATATCAGTCGAATCTCGTTTTTTTTCAGCACATTTTTCAGACTTAACGTCACTTTGGTGTGTCATTCATAAGATATTATCATACGTCAACTTTTGCGACAAGAAAGATAAAAATTATCGTGTCAATGATGCTATTCTTCACAAAATATGACTTTCAAACAACCACCTTTGCAACGTTAAAATGATTTAAATGTCAATAACTATGTTATCATCAGTTTCCATGTTTTTAAAATGTATTATAAATTCATAGAAAACATACTAAAATGCTACCTTAGTGAGACGAAAATCAGTTTTACAAATTTAATGTTACAAACAATAAATCTAGACATTTATTTGCGCAGAAATATTGGTTTTATCGTGTAGATATTTAATGGTATCTATGTAAGCCTAAATCTATCCCAGTACGTGTACTTTAGAGACGTTAGTGTACCTATAGGGAATGAATATTTGGCTACTGTCACTCTGGGCTTACAAGTTCGCTTCGAATAATGAATGCCAATAATAAAGATGTAAAGAGTATCGGTAAGAAAGTTTTTTCAAACGAGAGATCCGATTAGATTTCAAGCAATACTTTATAAACCACATGAGATTTCATAAAAATCCCGTTGAGAGCGTAGCGTTTGTCGCCTCAGGGAAGATGTACGTCGTAGTGCCACGTTGCTGAAAGTTCACGGGTAAATTTCACGCCTTCTCTTAAACTTTCCCTTCAAAAAGTTTCTCACCCTGCTGTGCGTAAGTTCTCGCATTACGGCGTGGCGATGATTTAAAAGGAAGTTTTCCGGAATCTCTAAGCGGCATAACGTATTTACGTTAAAATACGCCCTCTCCGTTTCCACTTCTCGTTCGCTTTAAAGTTTTTGATGAAATTCTATAATTAAATCCGATAAGTAGAACCATTCAAATCGTAAGCAGTCCCGTAAAATGTGGAACTGTGCATCTATGGAGTCTCTTTGTACCAGAACCTGAACAAAATTAACCCGTCCTTTTCGTAAATATATGTTATCTGAACCGAAAAATAAGGAGGTCAAAATGGAGCTTTGTATCTCGGAAAACAGCAATGCAATAACGCAAATTGGTTTTGATGTGCGACAAATTGTTCATTTGTATTCATGACAAAAAAATATCGACAATTAAATTTCCGAAAAGAAATTGTTTCATTTTCTACATCTTTCCTCGATGAGAGTACATTTAGGCCAAAATACATAACGTATAATACACGCTAAATAAACGAACAACAAATTTTCGTAAGCTTACGAGAAATAAATTTTTATCGAGCCCTGTACAAAATGTCTAAACAATGGATGCAATGTAATCATTTTATTACATACAGTGTAGACAGTATATAAATTAACAATTTTATCACATTCCCCATTACGAGTTGGGGATTATATAATATACCCGGTCAATTGATAAGTGTTCCATAATTTACCACATTTATCAATTTTAATCAGGATAATGCATAATCATGGCATTTATCACATTCACCGCAATATATATAATCCGATTAATTCCAATACTATAGGCGGTTTTACGTATTTGAAATAAAGGAATAAACTCGCAGCCGTAATCTATAAAAAACACAATGCTAGTTGCACAATCTGGAGAATCGCTGGACGAAGCGAGAATGTTACTGCACCATCGCAATGCAGGAAGTTTAATTCAATTTTTGTTTGGAGGGTATCGCAACATGTAAGCCCGAGTGCACGTGTTTGAATATTCAAACTTGTTTCGACAACACCGCAACAGTTGCTAGAACACACAATTGCAGCGATAAAACGAAAACCACAATTGTTGAAATTGATATCTGTATGTATTTAACAGGAAAAAACGTAGAAGAATTTAAAGTATATTTAACGAAGAAAAATTTAAAGCGTCCTTTGTAAATGAAAATTGTGATGAAATGCTATTGCATCAGTAAAGTATAGTTGAATAATTGGAATTCATAAAACAAGAAATTTAATATTGCCATCGCGTAATGTATGTACATGTACATATATTGCCTGAGAATTTATTAAGAACTCGTCAATTGTTGTTTTTTTTAATTCCGTTTTCTTTCTAGTGTAATCAACGAATGCTTCAATTTACAATTTCTTATAATTCCTGAGACTGTTTCATTAACGGATATCGGGTAAATTTTGAAAACAATTGGCAAAATATGTGCTAAGCACTATAAACTAGTTTGAAGACACTAACCTCTAGAATAGTATACATATACATAGTTCCACTAATTACCCGTCGCTAGTGACCAAGCAATAGATGCGACGTAAACTAACACAATTTAAGAAAAAAATATTCGTTAGAAATATTATATACATATGCGGTACTGGCTTACAATGCAGGTTGCATATTATTGCTTACGCTAAAGAAAATATTACTCATGAATGGAAAATATTATCTAAATTTTCGTGATGTCAAGATTGTTTGTTTCGTGCATCAAAAGATTACCTTGAATAATATTTCTCATCATGGGTCCACCACGTTAATTTCAACTAGCTTTGTGAGTCCTTCGATTTATATACATATTTTAGGTGTTATATCGTCATTATATTACTGTTCATTCGATAAAGCTTAAAAGTTAGTCTCAAAAATATCATCACCATTTTGCAGCATCAACATTCACGACAGTATTTAATAATAACAAAAATTACATACCATCTAGTCTAATGACACTGGACAACGACGAATCCGTTATTTGATTAGGACTGGGTTCTGCGCTAGGTAACGGTCTCTGTCGCGAATTTTGAATATTTTCAACTAAAAATTAAACACAAATGTCAGCAGTGTGTAATACTATTGCTATATACACTAACATTTTTACATAAGTAATGTGTATACTGCGAGATCTGTTAGCGATATAATCCAAAAGGAGATTCTTCGTGAAACGATAAGTCGAAAGTGCACAATAAAGTTTGCGAAAGTAGGAATTAATATCGTAAATCTCGTTATAGATCTTGTCTTGATACTTCATTTTTAAAAGTATCACGAATATGGGGTTACTTTGAACTTCTTTGGAATAAGTTCGCAAATGAATCTATATGATACTTAAGTTTCATGAGAATTTAGTATTACATAAGATGTCGAAAATGACTTCGTGTTGCTGTATGAAGAACTATCGCCTGGAAACTACATTTTCGTAGAATTTATACAAGAAATTTAATATCATAAGTAATGCAGTGTAGCCTTTGTCGAATTCAGGACCTATTCCGCTCATTTAATAAATGTTTAATTCGTCGAAGAAAGCATACTGGAACTTCGTGGTAGTGGAATATAATACTTCTTCTGGTCGCTAAAGGTGTAAATTATGAGACGAGAAATTCATCGCGTAAAATGTTTAGTCACCACGCTAATTTTGTTGCTTACGAAATAAAGGGATCAATTTTGTAATTTTCTTATTATATTAGAGTGAAACCGTGTTGTAGAGTAGTCAAGATACAGTAACGTTTCCATAAATGCACAAACATCTCCACCATAAATGCATAGAAACCATCCCACCACTGAGGGGTATACCCCTTGGAGGGTCGAGGAGTTCGATCACCGAGCAGTGTAATATGACACTGATGTTTATATTGATAATATTCTGTGATGTTTGCCGACGAGCTTCGAACGTAGAGAAGGACAGCGAATAAAGGAGAGGATGGAGCGAAAACACCAGACCATGTCGATGAGACAATTTAATGCAACGGTGAAACTCGTCTATTATTAACTTTTTTGTTGTAAAAGTTTTAACATCATATTCCTGACATTTTTCTGATTAAAATGAGAACAAACACGACGTAATTTGCAATATACAGGGTGTCCCAAAACTCGCGTAGTAGTCGGAAATGGAGGGTAGCTGAGACAATTCTGAACAACAATTTCCTTTGCAAAAATGTCGGATGGGTCTTCGTTTAGGAAATATTAACAGAAAACCCCGACTAATCAGAGAGCGCGTATACCGTTGGAGCGGCCGTGGTAGCAAAGGCTACTCGCTAGGCGGCCGCGTCAATGTCCTTCGATGGCTTCGATGCACGTCGAGTCACTAGTTCGCGTACAAGCGCGGCCGCCAGTGCATAGCCTTCGCTACCACGGCCGCTACAACGGTGTACGCGCGCTCTGATTGGTCGGGGTTTTCTATTAATATCTCCTAAACGAAGACCCATCCGACATTTTTGAAAAGGAAATTGTTGTTCAGAATTGTCTCAGCTATCCCCTATTTCCGGCTCCTACGCGAGTTTTGGGACACCCTGTATTTACTTGTAACAACTTATTATGTATCATCATTATTTCTGTTAAGGGAGTATTTTATTCTAGATCCAATTTTCTGGTCTTTTTGATCATTTTTTGACAAAAAAAAAGGTATAAGTTTCTCAACGTCAGCGTTTTATACACATATTTGTTTAAGTTAACGATAACTTAAAATAATCTTATTTTACGTTTCGATTTATAAAGATTGGGGTAGCTCTGATTGTGACAAGAACTCTTGTCAACCTAACAATGAAATGTTCTCATATGAAATATATCTGGGAACGCTGAAAAGAGCTGGTTGTATTATCGTCCTTGAAAGTTTTAATATTATACAGTTAGTTAAAAAATTAGTTGCTGTAATTTTCAAAATAATGCTAATTTTCGGAAAAAATATAAATTTCGTTAATTTACAGCAAAGCTCTATCTCTAATGGTTTTCAAGAAATTCAACAAAGTATGTTCTGCACCTCCAGCTTTGGGGGCTGTTTTTGACCCTAATTAAAGTGAATATTAGCAACTACAAAAAAATATATGTCAAATGAATTTATGAAAACAACCTTACTTATAATTTAATACTTAATTTTTGTAATGAATCCACTCACCTAAGAATGTCATTTTCAATCCTTCTAGTAGAACACTAACTAAAAAAGATGAATGGTAAATATCGTCCGAATTACATCGTGTTTAGTCTCATTTTAATCGGAAAAATGTCAGAAATATGATAGTAAAAATTTTACAACAAAAAAGTTAATAATAAAAAAGGGAAATGTGATTCAAGGTCAAATCCAAGGTCGCCATTATAGTCCTCGTTGAAAGTTATCTAAAGTATGACCTTTGAAGTTTGTTTTATCATTAGACTCGCGTTTCTAAGGGTTTCCATACTTTTTCTCCACTCTGTATTAGATCAGCGGTGAATTTGATAATTATTCCAGAATTTATCACATTCACTATATCATCTCTATTTCGAAAGTCAACTCATTATTTTGTTTCCCGTTCCTATTTCTAATTCAACAGATGCTGCAATATAAAATTGGGTTTTAAATGATTATAATCTACATTTAATATTGGACTCATAATGCCATTATGACTATAAGCGAAGGGAACGATCGTTGCGTTGAAGGAAGTTGAGTTGAAGTCTTGTTTCCTATAATGATGTAGAAAGACGGGCATTTCAATTTTAAACACGATTTTTCTTTGTTAGCATTTTTATTTAGACTTAGTATACCTTATAACCGATTTACCTCAACACTCACCATTTCAAAAAGTGATACATATCGGCAACTCGACGAGATGATCCACGTAACAAACGTCCCATTATATTTATTCACATGCACTGTTTCATATGAAACATGTAACTTTTAACGAATTTTATATTTTCCTTCTATAAAGCGACAAACGTGTGGCAAAGTTACCGACGACAGCGTCGGTATCTACACTTTAACACTCTGTGCGGAATTATACAAATTCTGATGTAAAATCTGACTGAGAGCACAGCTAGAAAAGAATCTAAAAACGTCTCAAATCAGGATGTAATAATTCATTTGTTAACAACCAAAATGTATATTCAATGCCACAATTTTTTTCTTATGTATTTTGGTCTACTAAACTCGAAAATCGCAAGAAAAAATTTTTCTATGGACAGATTTTTTTATATGAATTTTGAATCATTTTTCAATTTTTTTCTGATATACCTTCACATTTTAGCCCATATCTCGAGTTAGAAACATCCGATTGAGTCGCGCAAGATGCCATATAAAAAAAGGTAGTCGATTTTCCAAAAATTGTTTTTCACATTGTTTTCCAATCGGTTCAATAGTTTAAGTGTCACGGGCCAAAAAATATGAGAAATTTCGATTTTTTCGGCTAAAATTGAACACAAAAATTTCTTTCATCGCCATGAAAAAATAGAAATTGTCAAATTATTTCTAATTTCTTATTGTCTACGTATAGATCGCACTTTTACGAAGAAAACAAGTTTTGTTGAAGAAAATCTATGAATAAATACCGGAGTTAGGAACAATTGAGTAAAGATACAAAAATTCCAATTGATTATAATCAATTGTGCCTACTTTGCAATTCTATGGTAATCTTTTCCAACGTAGCTGCAGACAGACGTAAATAGAGTAGTAATTTTCCACATCTATCTATAACATTGCCTCTATCTAACTCTGACTTGCCGGGTTCTAAATTCTAGCGCGCGTAATAACATTGGATGGCATGACAGCGAGAACACAATCCATTCAAATCCGTCTACAGGTTGCTGCGCAAATTTAGCGTTTGTGCAACGCTGCGTTTGATTCTTACACAAACTCAGCGCTCTTACTTTACAATTCTGTGCCAATCGGGGTTGCGAATAATTAATTACTTTTAAAATTAATTTCCGTCTTTAATTGACAATTAATTACAAGCAATGTAATTAAAAATTATTTAATTAAAATTTAATTGAGCAGAATTAATCGAAAGTCGTTTAATTGACGATTGATATGAGTAAATTTAATCGAAGATATTTAATTGACGATTAATATGAGCGAATTTAATCGAAGATATTTAATTGACAATTACCTTAAGCAGAATTAATTCAAAGCCATTTAATTGACGATTAGTTTATATCTTCAATGTTAAAAGACATTTATATAAAATTTAATTAATTGTATAAGTAACACATATAAGGTTATTAGATGTGTTACGTGCCGATATTTTCATTTTTATTTTTCTTGATTTCGTCGGCAGGAATGTGTTCGAGATGGTTTACCATCCCGAATTCGTTCTAATCGAACACAAACCTAGCCTTTGACGGTGGTTCATTAAATTCATTTTTTAACAAAGTTTCACATTGCTTCCTTGAAATCAACGTCGTCACGCCATTTTCACTCTGCTGGCAGCGCCGCACCTTGTATAAAGTTTTGTAAATATGTTCAATTTGTTAATATTTTAATAGGTTTAGTATTGTAAATATGTTAAATGCGTTGCTTGTTACGAATGAAAGGCGTTAAATCATGTAATGTAACAGTATACATGTATAATTGTTGGAAAGATAAGCACACCGAATATTACCATCGCGTTCAAATATCACGGTTACAGATATTATTGGAAGAAGGACACGTAAATATCGCGCATTTAGGTTAAACCTTTATTTTGCTATTTCTTCTTCATGTACGCTCCGAATACCGAAGCCGTAACTCGAATAACAGCGTGGTTCGTCCGCGCGCACGTTGTCGCTAGGACGAATCGAGCGGTTTGGTGGGCGCGAGGCGCGAGACGCGGTACAACTCGTAAACACCAAATTCTTGCGTGAACCGAGTCGCGAAATCTCGAAGACTTTTTCTATAAACTGGCGACGATCACGTGGTTCTAAGATCCTTTGTCTCCAAAGCTTCTAGAACGTTCCACCGAGTTTACGTGGTTGAGCAAGGCACGAGCCTTCTCACTTCTCATCGTACAGTCGCACGAAGCGCGATATTAGTCCGAACGAGCTAAATTGAGCATAGTTGTATTACCGTGAACTTAGTAGTATTATACGAAGTGGGTGGTAGGCAAAGACTCTAGTTCCTCGTAAAACAACTCGTTTTATTCAATTTCTTTTATTAATTTAATTTGTTTAAATACTTTGATATTAAATCTTTTTTTTTGTAAATATAATTTAGCGTTAATTATAACCGTAAAACGTGTGCGTGTGTTTTTCCTTCAACCACAGGGCGACCAGAACAACTCAGAACATCGAGACCAGCGTTTTTCTCGATTTGTATTGTAAAGATATTTAGTGGTGAGTTGATTTTCTTCCAATCAATATTTTTGTATAAATGATTATGAATTTATTTTGTTGTGGCCACTCGGAATATCAATAAATGGTATTTCATTTCCGGGGAATCTCTAATTGATTGTCTCTGGTGGTATTTCCATTGATCTTTCATATAATATTATTCCGACAATTTTTATTGTATTTCTGTATCATATGAAATCACTGTTGTTCAAATCTGGGATATTAATAAATGATATAATTCATTCCGGGGTAACCCTAGTTGATATCCCAGAAACGAATAAATATATATATTTTCATTGTATTCTTCTATACAGTTAATGTTCAATTTTATATGAATTAACTGAAAGAATGAAAGAGTGTGATCTATTATAAATATGTAAATTTCAAGGTCTAATCATTGGTTATTAAAATACATATCAGACAATGATATTTCAATAGTAAAATAGCTTTCAATATTTAATTTAAATTCACCGTTGAATCCGCTCGCATCTTAACCGTCCATCCTATTAAATACGAAAAAGAAATTCACATACGAGCCAGGGCCCGTACGGGACTGCTGTGACAAAGACCTGACCTTGCCTATCGGCAAGTAAAATATATATAATAATAATATTTAAAAATGATTTAAGCTGTGACGCAGGAATCTGTGTCCCACGTCACAGATGGATGCCAGATATATCCGGCGCTCATACAGAAATGGTTATGCCGGTAATGCCAAATTAGCTGAACTGCTTTATGCTTTTAGTATATTACTTTAACTTATACTTATGGTATATATTTGTTTTATTTTGTCGTCATTGAATAAGAATATATATTTGTTCTTATTTACGTTATAAATTACTTATTTATAGAATTACCTCAACAAATACATTATTATATATACAAGCAACTCATTGTGATGAGGTTAATAGTATTTAGTATATTGCATTTGTCGCTACAAATTGGTTTATATATATGTTCATTTATATGTGTTACTTATATAATTAATTGAATTTTATATAAATGTCTTTTAACATTGAAGATATAAACAAATTTTCAATTAAATAGTTTGAATTAATTCTGCTTAAAGTAATGGTGAATTAAATGCCTTTGAATTAATTCTGCTTAAATCAATCGTCAATTAAATGGCTTTCAATTAATTCTGCTTAAAGTAATCGTCAATTAAATATTTTCGATTAAATTTGCTCATATCAATCGTCAATTAAACGACTTTCGATTAACTCTGCTTAATTCAATTTTAATTAAATAATTTTTAATTACATTTATTCAAAATATTTATTAATTAAGTTGATTGAATTAAATTTGTTTAAATCAATTATTTAATTAAAAAATTGTAATTGATTATTATTCACACCCCGGTGCCAATCCTTTTGGTCTTATAGGCAAGAGCTGGACATCCACCAGATTGTACCGTCTGCCTTTACTTGTGTTGTCTCCTGGCTTTAGATCATAATAATGTGAACAAAAAAGCGAATTAAAAAATTGGAGATTATTACCGATGTAATCCTTCTCTCATCGCGACATTCACGTTCTACCAGAACGGTGGGAAATAGTGCGATGAAAAATATTGTACGATTTGTACCTTGTTTGCATGCCTCTGATAATATACTTCAGTTAACACCTTCCGTGCCAAGCCGTTTTTGCCTGACTTGTCGATCAGACCGTTTGATGTTTTGACTAAAGATTCATATAGTATCACACAATATTTCATTACATCATCAGTCCATACGTAGTTAGCTTGTTTAGAACAGTTATCACATCGTCTACCACTTGTGCATCATTCTTTTGGTGCAAATATATTTTACAGAATTAAATTTGTTATAAAATATATGTTTTCAGTGAATTTCCAGAATTTTTCCGAGCCCTTCCAGACCATAGGTTCTTTAATTAAAGAAATATGTCTGCGTCTACCACTAGTGGTACACGTGACACGGAACGGGTTAATGATAACTGTAGTCAGAGATCGAACGGTTCTCACGCTGTGATCGAAATTTCCTTTCGTCTTTCAAATTGGATCGTTATAATCTCCAGATTAAGGTAATTCGTGATTGGGCGCTGTTGTTTACTCGGCACTGAACCGAACCTTCTCACGTGAGCATATTACCCGTCGATCCGTGTAGTCGGTAATCTATCGAATTGAGTTTACCAGTTATCGATTTCACAGTGGTGCTTGGATGATATCGAGTCCATACGAAACTTACAGGATGAAAAATTATGTAGTGTAAACTCAGTCAAGAACTTTGAATATAAGGTTTCAGACCAATCGAAGACTTTATTCGCGAACATGTACCGAACTGTTTTAATACATTCGCGCCGAATGTATTAAACTTTCCGATTATAGGGAAGTTATTGTATATGCCTCTAAAATGAAAAATTGATTTTTTAGCAGATCTCCATGTTTCAAGGTCATTGGAATCATTTTAGCCTATTTTTAAGAAATTGTTCGTGCACGCGTGTGCGTGTGCGCGCGTATGTATGTACGTATGTAAACAAATTTTCCGTTAACGTTTTGTAAAAAAAACTAATAGCGAGATCAATATGATCGATGATGCAATCAATGTGTATCAATCTAACTTAGAGGTGATTAGATTTTGTTCTAATTCGGTCCAATAGTTTTTTAGTTTTTTTAAGAAAACTTAACTCAATAACGCAATCTAGATGGGAGAATATAAATTTATGCGCGAATAACTAAACGGAAATAATATATATACATATATTACTATTATTACATTTGTATCCATATGTATAACACATGTATATATGTATACATAAGGGTGCTCGAAAAGAATGGAAACAGTCAAATATTTCCAAAATGGAACATTTGTGAGAAAAATGGTTTAGAAAAATGTTTTAGGGTTTCAAAAATTCTATTGAATGATCGTGTCCGTTTGGCCTTCAAAGGACCGGTCAAAGTCACGTCAAGGTCAACATAATTTTTGTAATGGAAACCTCATTTTTTATCATGCACTGTGAAAACTGGCTATGAGACCTTTTCAAAACACTAGTTTCAAACATTTTTTTTATTTGTGATAGATGCCGCTGTAATCGGAAATCGGAAATTTCCTTGTGTGGCCCGTAAAGGATCGCACCCAAAATAAACATGAATAGCTATATGAATTAATCGAGCAAGAACAATTCTACTCGCGAGCTCGCGAAGCAACAAGGACCAGCTAGTTTACTTTTTTATTTTATACACTACATATTTACAACATTGATCTTTGAAGACATATTTTGTAATTTTTATCTCCGTCCTAAAGATGCAAATTTACGATGTCCAGCTTCAGAATTTTATTACTTTCGTCAGTACTCGGTATTCGAAACGTAAAATATCTGCCAGTCGCGAATGTGTTAAAAAAGACTTTGTTTAAAGAAGACCCTGACCAATTAGATACAGACACGTACATATTATTGATACGTTTACGAGTAATACGCTCCTGAGCAATAAGCAGTAAAGGGAATAATGCGCGATGACCGAAGTTTTTTGAAAATTTTCCCCATATTACTCAAAGTATAAGATACTACTTGTTACTCTTGATCGGTAGTGCCAATTATGCCGGTAATGCCAAATATACTGAACTGTTTTACGTTTTTATTATATTATTTTAACATATACCTATGTTTTATATTTCTTTTATTTTGTCGTCATTAAATATGAATAAAAATTTGTTCTTATATGGGTTGCAGATTATTTATTCATACAAAACCTTGAGAAGCACATTACTGTATATACAGGCAACTCATTTTGATGAGGTTAATGGTATTTAATATATTGCATTTAGTTAAATTCAACATGTTACTTCAAAATTTTTAATTTTTTTTGTCATTATTGGGTTACGGGGAGGCACAAGTTAGATGCTTGCCACGAGCGCTTCAAATTTTTTAATTTTCTCAGAATGCGTGTCGAATAACATAGCATTGTCGATATTCGCAAACGTAAGAACAAGTGAAAGTTGCATTGTATAGAAAAAAATATGTTTTATGAAATTTTATTCTGCACTTTCGATTAATTTTTTTTTATGAAGTAATGCTCATCATCGCTTGTACCATCTTTTTCAACCTAGAATATGGCGGTCTTCTCTAAATAAATATGTGACCTTTGGAAGACGAGTCATCCTGTGTATCGGTATTTTCGCTTTCCTGGCGCACTGTGTATACCTTACCGCAGTACCAATAGCAGTTAAGAAAGCATTACGTTGAAATCTGTTTACTTACCTTCTTCGATTGTGGGAGCTAGCGTCGTTGTTGATGTTCTCGATTCCGTAGTTGGCGTTGGAATATCTGCAAGATACATAATTACAAGTGAAACGTTGCTTACTTCCTCTTTAAGTGAGACGTTACTTGGTTCCACTTCTTTAATCAATATATTATAACTGATATTAAAATACGTCCCGATATATACGATGGCACGAATGAAAGTTAACGGTAACGATGGAAGAAAACCTGTAAATGTAAATAAATATATTGTACTTATTCACTATTGTATGTACAATACTATAGATATCCAGAAGATCCGATCGTTTCCATGCAATTGGTCGGTGTATCGTCTCAAACGATGATTTACATTCTTAAACCCTCCTCTCCCATCGTTGCCGAAGCCCTTCTTCGATGAAAATAAACTTCACCTTTAACTAATTTCTTAGAACAGGTTTTTAACTTTTGGAACAAGTATTAAATGATCGCATCTAATGCAGACTAACGCTTTCAAGCATGCGATATTGCAATAAGTCCGATGGTCTCTTACTTTTGTCCGTACATATTTTCGTATTCAGGAAATTCTTTGAACGTTTTCAGGTTGATTATCTTTCTTATGTTTTATTCATGAAAAGTTAGTAAGCGCATGTATGTAATGCTATGCACTCATACATCGGAGATTCAAACATCGTGTTCAAGAAGCCGATCTCTAAGCTTTGATAGGTTCCGTCAGGAAAACGAGACATAAAACTGCTGAAGTAGTAACGGATTTTTTAAATTCCTCTTGATATTAAAAATATACAGATTTCTTTTTGTTCTGTCATTCGGGAACTCCACGAAATACAGATGCAAATATTACAATATTGGCATGAAATTGTATAAGTCGTCACAGACGTGTGTCTGACTTACAAGAGAATACCGGTGAGTGTTACACCCCGATTTTGATGAAACTTTATACAATTGTTTGTGGGATCTTCCAATGAATTACGTCATCTTCAGTTTGTGCCACTTTTGCGTTTCAAGGGAGAAACTATTAGGTTGTCCGGAAAATTCATGCCTATTTTTAAGAAAAATACAAAGGCATATTTGAATTTTGATGTGTATTTATTGAATTATGTATGTACCATTTTGTTCCACAATCTTTCCACCTCTTAAGAAATGTACACATTTTATTTGTTTTCAGCCATTCCGATATATTCAGACCTGTATCGCCTACCAAAAATCGGCATGGACTTTCCAGCAGCTCAATACCTCTTTTGTCCGAACCACCTCGTTTACTTATGTGTTTATAACTCGAAAATGATAAGGGATATCGAAAAATTGTTCTAATGAACATTGCACTGTTTTTAGAGGCTCATAAACCAGTATCAAAAAATTTCAGAAAAAAACTATTTTTCTTAAAAAGTACCCTCCCATCTCCTTGACATTTTTAAAAATTTTGATTTATTTCAAGATCAATGTTACGTATGCACACCCGTTCTTTTCGAAGCACGCGTTCATTTATTTTATCTACCCCTTGGAATGTGGATTCTTACCGAAGTGGACCCTGCAGCTGTACCATACTTTTCTCAGAATCATCTTTTAACTCGCGTTGCGTGGGTAACCCTTTATCTAAATTTTCCCTAAAGCCCCACAGATGTTCACCTCTGAGTAACGAAAATCTCAACCGCCAAATTTCCATATATGGGAATCACTGACGTATCCCCACCAATATCTAGGGGTATATAAACCCATGATTTTCGTTACTCGGGGGATTAGTACGAAAGAGTTACTTGGTGAAGTCACGTCGATCGTCTTCAGAGTTGCGCTTCAATAAGATCGGGCTTCAGATCACTTTCGATCAACATTAACCATATAGATCCGCGAGGACGGTACAAAATCTATTACGACATAGAAGCATTCTCGACCCTCGCATCGCCAGTGCGTTAACACCGTGCAACAATTAGGTAATTAAATTCATACACTAACCGCGACAACATGACACTGTACAATTGTATTATTAGAATTATTCAGTTTTGAATATATAATCATTTGTTAACCTTAAAAGGTCTGTTAAATCGTTATTAAACCTTCACCATTGGAATAAGCAATCCTAACCAGTGTAACGACCCCACAACATAATAACTTTACCGCTCGAGTTATTATTTGTTTAGAATTAATATGTGCGAGGCTTTATCCACGACGCGTATTATATTCCAACGATACGATTCAATCCTTACCTAACCTTCCCAACGGTTACCCTTTACCGGGAGATACCAATTCCCAGCAGCTATCTGACTTCGCGTCAGAGTCGTCTGCGATGTCTACTCCATTCTCAATCTTTGGATCCATTGAAATAAACAGGACTAATCGTATCTTCTTCGATTCTTGAATTCAACCCACTCGCAGAGTTCACACGCGCGTCGCTATCGCCCTGGCTCGTAACAGTAAATATCCGCCCAAAGTATCGAAACTAACGAATTTCATCACAAACCTTACTTTTTCCGTTGCAATATCGACTACTAGAGCGACAATTGTACAATATTACATCATTTGTCATTATGGTAACTTTAAAGTAATACACACAAAAAAAAGTTTTTTCTGAAATTTTTTGATACTGGTTTATAGGCCTCTAAAAATAGTGCAATGTTTATTTGAACATTTTTTCGACTTCTCTGATCACTTTCGAATTATAAGCGTATAAGTAAACGGGGCGGATCAGATAAAAGGGTTGTCTCTCTTGAAACAACCTTTCCAGAAAATTAGTCCCCAGGAGTGACACGAACTGAAGATGGTGTGATTCGGTGTGTAATTTCTAAGTGTAATTTCTAAGTGTACAAAGTTTCTTCAAAATCGGGGTGTAACACTCACTGGTGTTTCCTTTTTAGACCTATACACGTATAGTATAGAATATACGAATAAATTGCGTAGTCTCATATTTTTTATTTAGATATTGTGAAAAAATTGTTTATTTACTTCGTAACGTCACGTTACGTTTGTTTCACGTTATAATAAACTTGTCATTTTTAAAAAAAATGTAGACGCTACCGTATTGATTAATACTTCTTTGCTGCAAAATCTGGGTATAAACGACGATTTAATTAAAGTTGTATTTTCAGTATGGAAGGGACACGGAGGTAAAATATTTTTTCGTTTAATCTCAATTTTAGTGTATATATATATATACGTGTTACTATAACTGTAGCGTTGTTTCAGGCACCAGGTGCTCCTGCGTCAATTCGTTTATTAAAAACATCCCGTGGATCCCATACAACTCGGTCTTTTTATTGAAAGAATGGTATCGATTGCAGTGACCATTTTGAGCATCATGACTCGTATCTGCTGGTACTGTATTGTTGTCTCACTATGCTACATACATACTATCTAGTTCTATTTACCATACAGGATCGATACAGATGTCTAGTTGTTATTTACAATTCTAGTATTATAATCTGATTTTCCTTTTCTGAAAACGCCCTTTTGTTTAAATGTTGGGTATCGAGTATAAGTCAATAATATTGTTCGGTAATTGTCGAACGAAAAGGTGCGAGCGCCATTTGGACAATGTGAACACATGTCGGTCGTGGGATTGATTTGCGGAAGAAAAGGTACTGCGGGCAATAAATTCCGATTCATCTAACAGACCACTGACTTGCTTATTTTTACGATTACCTAGTGGACCCTTTTAAGTTATTAACATTGTGGCGACCGTGGAGGGCGGTGAATCTAGTCACTAGACTCTGGTGGTAGTCAGAGAAAAAAAAAATTGAGGTTAGAAAACCTCGAAAAGTGAGGAAAATAAGTGCTGAAAGATGGAGGTCGTTAAGAGAACGAGAAAGATTAATAGAATGAATTTTACGAAGGCGTATACTGCCTTCGTAACAACAATGGAGGATGGAGGGTCTACACAAGAAGAAAAAATTGTTGCTTTCCAACTCTTGAAAGTGAAGATGACGGAGCTGAACGAAGCACACGTGGCGTTTAATAACGCGTTATTTCACTCCGACCTAGACGACGAGGCAATCGCAGAGAAGTTGGAAACGGATGACGCGTATAAGAAAAATTTCTTGACGGCCAAATTAAAAACGACTGGCCTTCTAGGCGCAACAGAGCAGCACTACAGGACTCCTGCCGAGATCGAGAGAAAGACATTGAATCTTCCAAAGATTGAGCTGCCCAAATTCAACGGTAATGTCACGGAGTGGCTCCCTTTTTGGAGCCAATTCAAGAAAATCCACGACGATCAGGCGATTGGTAAAGGAGATAAGTTCCAATACCTTCTACAAGCTACAGTTGTGGGGTCAAGAGCCAGCGAACTAGTGAATAGTTTTCCGCCTATGGAAGAAAATTATGAAAAGGCAGTTACAAGCCTGAAGAATCGTTTTGGTCGAGACGACATAGTAATAGAATATCCCCATAAAAAACTTCAAAAAAGTAACAAAATTACGCCAAGTACATGAAAAAATGGAGGACTCAAGGAGTTATTATAGAAAAATAGAAGATTCCCTTAAAAAAATTGAAGAAAGTAGAAAAAGATATGAAATCGAAATGAGCAGCCAGTACATGAAAGTCCTTTCCAATAAAGTGCAAAGGCGACAATGTGTAGCACAATGTAAAATTCGGTGGTTTTTAACTATGTGCAGCTAAAATGCTGTGTTTAACAGTGCGGACGTTCAGACCCTAATAACAACTCATGTAAACTGACTGCTCCACACTTTGGTGGTGAAATGAAGAAGCTAAATAGTGTATCAACCACAAACTGAGACTGTTTAGACATTTGCCTAGATGTCTGTGGTCTGGAAGTCAAATGCTTGACGTGGCCAGGCCCGACGTGGAAAGGACGTGGAAAGGACGTGGAAAGGACTTTCATGTACTGGCTGCTCATTTCGATTTCACATCTTTTTCTACTTTCTTCAATTTTTTTAAGGGGATCTTCTATTTTTCTATAATAACTCCTTGAGTCCTCCACTTTTTCATGTACTTGGCGTAATTTTTTTATTTTTTTGAAGTTTTTTATGGGGATCTCACTTCTTTTTACAAAGATAATTTGTATAATGAATGACTTCAAATAATAGAAAATGGGAGATCAGTTTGAATCTTTTAAGGTT